GTAACTGTTCTCACAGTTTCCGATTTCTTTCTCCTCATAACATGACCAAACCATCTAAGTTCATTTTTTCTCATCTTATCTACGATTGACACTACACCTATACTCCTCTTATATGTTCATTCCTTATCCTATCTTCTCTAATCACTTTACTCATCCATCTAAGCATTCTCATCTCTGCTACACTCATTCTCTGCTCTACTTTCTTATCAACCACCCAACACTCTGAACCATACATTACTACAGTATTATAAAACTTACCTTTTAGCCTCATTGGAATTCTTTTATCGCATAACAAACCTGGCGCTTCTCTCTACTTCACCCATCCGCTCTTAAACATGTCTTACATCCTCGTCAATACCACCGTTTTGTTGCACAACTGATCCTAAATACTTAAGTTTCCACCTTTCTTATCACATCCTAACTTATTGTCACTGATCTCCTCATTTCACCTACCTCGTGTTCTCCTTGGTTAAACTCGTACTCTATATATTCTGTTTACTCCTCCTACTTATTCTTAAACTTGTAACGTGACAAAATGTGAATGTTATGATATTGATAGATTNCTTTTCTTCAGAGCTAATATCTACACCTCTAGCCTTTGATTTATTTTCTCCTATTAACACTATATTGTCAGCAAACGTATAACAACATTCACCAAGGCACCTCTCCTTGTATTTCTTTAGTAATTTCATTCATCACTATAGAAAATAAGTAAAGGCTTAAAGCAGAACTTTGCTGCACTCATACTCTTACCCGAAAACCTTCTGTTACTCCTCCTACGCTTTTTACCCTGGTACAAGTTCCATCATACATATTATTTGTTGTATAAATGTACCTTATTGCGACTCTTTTCCCACTTTAAAACCTCTTTTGGTTCTCTATCATAAGCTTTCTCTAAAATTATCAATACCATACACAATTTTTTCTCTTTTTCCTTAAACTTTTCTATTAGTTGTCTTACTCAACAAACAACCATCGTTGACTTTCCAGGCAAAATACTAAACTGATATTTCTCCTCTTATTCTTTTGTCTATTACCAAATTTTGTTGAGCTATCTTAACAGACAATCATAAAAGAGCGGTTTTAGTTTTTCTGTTAAATTTCTAGTTTTTGTGTCCATTAACTTTAATAAACACAACATTTTTATTATTAAAATTAAAAATGTAGCTGCTCAAAAAAAAAAAAAATAAAGTATATTGATAGAGCTCTTTAGTTTTATAATAATATTGATAATGTAATATATTTATAATAAAATGATTTTTGTACATAATACAATTATTTTTTATAATATAATTTATTCAAGTTGTAAATTTTAAGTATGTATTCTTTGAATCATATTTGAATATTCGTTATATTATATTGCAGTTTGTACAGATATACAGTAATATGTCTAATATATATATATATATTATTAATGTATCGGTCCGTGTCAGATGTTAAATTTATTTGTATTGGATTTGACACTATATAATATTTTTACATTGTATCAAATTTGTACTATATTTATTATAATTCGAGAAGGTATAATTAACCCTTAATAATCGGTTAAATTAATTTAACACGCAAACATCTAAAAATAGTAAGATTCTCACTATTTTTAGATGGACAAGATAACATAATTTATAGATACTGTAACTACATCTATGAACAATGAAATATTTTTTTTATATTTTAGTTTCGACACGAAGCTGAGAAAATATTTCTTTTAATGATACGTCAAAAGAACAAAAATTGTATATAATTGAAGACATTGTCCTTAAAAATTCACTAATTCTCTGTAACTAGGGCAAATTCCTCAAAAAATTGCAATTTTTAAAATCTGTAAATTTTTACATTTTAGCTTCGATGCGAAGCTGAGAAGGTATTGGTTTTACTAAGATATGTTTTTTTTTTTTTTTGTGTCTGTTACCACATTTTCTCAGCTCTCACCAAACCGATTTCTTTCAACGATACGTCAAAAGATCACAAATTGTATCTAGTCGAAGACATTACCCTCAAAAATTGAACATTTTTCTTTCGTTCACTGTAAATGGGAGAAATCTCCAAAAAAATTATAAATTTAAAAATCGCTAATTTTCGAAATTTTTGTATCAACGACCTATAACTAAACAGGAGTTAATGTTGCTTTTGAAATAATCCACCAATTTCTTAAAATTTAACAATAACTACAGATTTGCATCGAAGCGTTTTTTATGATAGTAATTTTAATTGCTGTCAGATTAAATCTATACTTGTTCCAAGTATGCCACATTCACACTGTGCTGCAATCCCACTGAGCTACCATTTTTGACTTTTAACTTTTTAACTTTTTGAAAAATGAATAAACTAAAATCATTTTTATTTCATATCAAAACCTTAGGTATTTCCCTTTTATTTAATATAATTTTTTTAATAATTAGACTCTACCTGTCTAACATTATTTAATCTAATAAGATTAAATTAAAAAATTCAGTACATGATTTATTTTTATACTGAACAGACATATATTAGTGAAGTGCTGTGTCTTATATTATAGTGTAACTTATATGATATCATGCTATAAATAAAATGGTATGTACACTTTTTACTAATATAGCATTAAACTATCTCTTTGGTAAACAATCATCTATGGAGATACATTTTTTTCCCTTTAATGAGGGAAATGATATTGAATAAAATCATATTCTAAATTATGCTGATGCAACCACTAATTCAACCAATAAAAAACCTTTAAACCATTAAACCAAACCATTATCCTTCTAGAGAAAATGCAATAATATTCAATACTATACCTCAAATTGAATACATTCTTAAAAAAATTGGGACTTACGTTTCTACCATTAAGATATAGTTGGCAAAATTATAGAGTCTCGTCCAGTCATAACTATTTGGGATATTTCTATTAAAATTTGCTGTCTTATCAAACCGACTAAAAAAGTTTTAATATCAAACGTTTGTCCATTCATACCTAATGAAGCTATTGTAGAAGCAATTTCAAATCTTGGTATTACTCCAGTCTCTCAAATGACAATATTCAAATTAGTTACTAATATGTTTTTCTGACACAATGTCTTCTGTAATCTATGTAAATTTAGATCTCATACTTCAAACAACTGTGACAAATATAAACCTAAAGTAATCCAATCTTCTCTCTTTTTGCTCTTCTGTCATATTTTGAATTGCTTTTACTTACTCTTCATGATTTTCTTAATGTCCTCATCCCATCAGATTTTTTGGAATATTACTCCTACTCTCGCCAAAAATCTACTTTGCAGTATCATGCTGTTCAAAAGTTATGTGTGTAGCCCGGTCAAGCTCCACATAGCTTGAAATCGCTCATTACCCCTCTCATTGTAATGATAACAATCGTGTCCGGCACTACCGGCACCTTGCTGTCATTACGTTTGTGTCCGCGGTTGGNTACCGGCACCTTGCTGTCATTACGTTTGTGTCCGGGGTTGACGTTATATCGTACCGTTGAGTCCAATGACTCGTAGCCAGTGATCTGGCATAGTTTTCTTTTTGTTGGGTTTGTATCGGCCTGTATAGGCGAAGTCCCAATGTACAGTTATTAAATACTCAATCCATACTTGGAGTTGGTGTTCTTAGCGTCACACACCGGTGTTGTTTCTTTTTCTGTTGTTCGGCGAGTTAGTGTGTCTTGTTACTGTAAAATTAATCGTGGCACTAAGAATCGTTCACGTCGGCCTAGAAGTATTTGTTGTGAAGATATCAAAGCATAGCAATATCACGCGGCAGAAGAAGTGTCAAGTGGCTGTAATATTTTTCCTTTTTTTTTATGTTAATGTTTGTATTATATGTAATTATTTGATTTGTATATGATTAAAAGAATCGTGTCATTAGTAAAAAAAATAGAATAAATTGTCTTTAGTTTATTATTCGAGTGTCAAGTAAAACGTCCGACCCGTCATTTATATTAAGATAATTATATAACGTTTAAATATAAAATCTTAAAATATTCACTCTGGGAATTAGAATTTCATTATAATATATTTTTACAATGCAGTAAAATCTTTTTCTAGCCTCATTCTTCCTACTAAAACCACACCCTCCATGTATTCTTTCATATCCTCTTCTTTTATCACTGACATGTCTATATTCATATCTCCACCTATAACCACATTCTTATTACCAGATATTTCTTGCATCATCTCATCCATCTCTCTCTAAAACACTTCATTGTTTATAGCATTACATCCTACTTATGGTGCATAGGCATTTATTACATTTTCGAGGAAAGTGTTGTACTTTCCTCAGAAATTAATTTTACTACTATAATTTTATCAATTTTCATAACTAATTCTATTACTTACCATCTCCTCATCTATTATTACCACTACACTATTCTTTGTAATGTTCTTACTTGAATATATTATATTGTAACCCTCACCTATTTTCCTTGCTTTCTTTCCCTTCCACTTATTTTCCTGCACACAACAAGTACTAACTTTTCTCCTCTTCAATACTTCTTCTAAATCTCTACTTCTAACAATTAATGTTCTAACATTCCACGTACTTATTTTTATTTTTATCCATCTTTCTCACCTATAGAGAAATTCAGCCTAAAGTTGAGTGATGATGTCCCTACACCGTAGACACTACAAGCGTTTGTTAAGCCTGTACATATAACTGGTAAAATAGCTGCTGCACAAGTTGTCCGTCTGGTATCAAACAATTTATTCTTTAAGACTTTTCTTTCTTTAACTAAAATAATATTAGGTTATTTATGATAAAAAATATTTTTTATAATTCTGTAGTTCATGTAAAAGATTTCAAATTTTTAATTTTTAATAAGCAGTTAAAGGTTATTTGGTCTAGTAGTACATAAAAGTTTTCAAAATGTATAAGAATTCGGATAAAAAAGTAGAAAACTGTTTAGAAAACATTGATACTTTTTGCTCTCAATGCTATAGCCCTGCTATTGCGAATATTAAAACAAATTATCATTTGGTAATTTTGACTTATTAGTATTTATCAATATAAATTAGGATAAATCATAATGAAAGTAATTCAAGAATTTATATTCACGGTTTAACAATGATTAAAAGAAAAACACAGATTTTATATATGTACATACAAGTAGAATAAAATGTAATCCTGAATTTTTGTCTGACAAAAGTGTGTAATATTATCACTAATTCACAATTATGTCACAATGAACATGTATTAAGTTCAGTACTAGTATAATTTAACAATTACTAAGAATTTAACATGATAAAAAAAGTATTTCATGATATTTAATTAAGTAAATCAGTTCAATTAAATTATTAATAACATTCGAAATTTTCAATTATGTTATACAATTTTATATTAAAAGGTTTTTTCCTTATTTTATATTTTTAGTTGAATAAGAAGCATTAAGTTTGCATAAATGATATTTTTCAGCATGGTATAAATGTAAATTATAAAATATATAGGTTTTAAATTAGTGTTTATGACAACAATTCATAGTTTCAAAAATATTTAGTTAAATTAATCTACACTTATCATCGATTCTCTGCCTTGACCAACTCCAACCCATTTAACTGAAACAAAAAATAAAATTACATACCAAGTTTTTAATTAACTATGATTGCATATTGTTATCAATTTTTATTTAGGATTATTCTTTTTGTTCTCTTGATATCTCTTAAAATAATACATTATCTATTATTTGTATTTATTTTCTTATGCATATATAATATATATTATACACAATATATTATTATATTTGTAAAGTATTTGGTGACAGGTAAGAGTTATTACTATTTATTGTCTTTAGTGTGTAATTTATTATCAAATAATAATTAATAAACTAATGATAACTTTAATAAAAAAACATTGAATAAGTAGAATAGTACTTGAAAATAGTACAGCTCTCTTCCAATAAAAATTTTATGTCAATTACCTGGTACTTCAAGGAGTTCTGTTATAGTAAACACAAATTTTTTAGCATTTTCTGGTAAATCATTAAAGTATCTTATGCTACTAATGTTTTTCTTCCAACCCGGTAAAGTTAAATAGTTAACCTAGAAGAAGATTCAATTTAATTTGAAACTCAAGATATCTATAGGTCACAATAAAATTTTAATTTTACTCAAAACTTTTCTTAATATAATATTAATTAAAAAAATTCAAATTATTTTTAAAAAAGATAGCAATATAAATTCTTATAATTAAATTCAAATCTAAAATTTTTGAAACATTAGTGATCGTATTTATAATTGTTTCTTATAAATAAGTTTTACTTAAGCTATTATCTGAAATATGTTACCTAATAAAAAGCAATGACACAAATAAAAGTATGGCCTTAAATATTTTGACATATTTTTTAGCACTTAAAATATTTATTTTTTAAATGAATAGATAAATAATATTCCTTAAACACCACATGAGTTCCCTCAGTCCTCTATGTTTTGATAAGTCCTATAACTTTTAATCCACTTAATATTTTATAAAACTTTTATGTAATAATTTAAAAATATATCATAATTAATATTTTTTTATTGTTAAAAAAAAATTAATTTCTCTTTAAATTTATGAAAAATATAAAAAAAAAAAATTAAGATAACCTATTGTAAAACAGATTAAAAAAATAATATATTTGGTATAAAAATATTTTATTAATGTATTTGTAGTTTATTTATACATTAAAAAATTTTCAAGAGTTAATTAATGGTATTAAGCGTTGGTCTATACTGTGAAAAGAACATTATATTTATGCTATATATAGGTTATAGTTATAGAATTTTTTCAAAGAAAATTATTATTGCTTGAATTATCACCTATGATTTAATTAAAAACACGAATAGTAATATTATCTATGCAATAATAATATCTCTTATTTTTTTATAATTGTCTTATTCTTTTTTTACAACATGGAACAACACTTTAAACCTCAAATTAACTCTTTAAAATTTAAATTATTAAACAATTTTAAAATACTAAAATAATAACTATACATTAATAGAATATTTTTTTATTAAAGTTTGTTTTTCAATCTGCTTTATAAAATTGCTACTCAAAAATGGAACAGATAAGAGAAAAATAAAGGAAGCTAAGGCAGAAGGCAGAGGAAAAATACTAGTGTGATATCATTATTTATTTAATTGTATATTATTCATATACACAATTTAAATTTTTTATGAGAGGACAATATAATATCTTGCTATAATGACATTAAATTTGAAAAATTACATACAAATTAGTATGAGTTAATTTTAATATAACAATGTACCAAACCATTAAATTTCATCATTAGTATCAAACTTTTGGCCCAATGTCAATATTGTATTGAAATATCAATATTCTTATTTAACATAAAAAGTTATAAGACTTGTAAGATCATACTGGACCACTCTGTTTACAGAGTATAACAGATCTAATTGAGAACACTTAAATATTTTGACATAATTAACACTGTTGTAATTTTTATTAAAAATAATTTATGTTTTCATATGTATCTATGAATAGCGATGTCATAAAAAAACAATTAGCTATCTTTATTTATAATCCCTTGTGTATTATATAAATTAATAAACAAATTAAGTTATGTTAAAAATTCAAATGTCATTTACAATTAAAATAAAACTTGAAACATTTTATTAAATTCAAAATATGTGTTCCCATAAGATAAAAAACAAAGTTGACGATTTAACAAGGCATAAGGTATGAACTTATTAAGTATTACTTAGCTAATAATTAAAAAAAATATATGATTTTAACATAGTCTAAGTATGCATAAATTAAAAAAAAAATTTTAGTTAAATGTTAATTGTATCAATTATTATGTATATATACATACATAAAGGGTGATTCATTAAGAATAAGACACTCATTTTTTTAGGATAAGCTTTAAATAAGTTTAATTAAATAAAGAACTACAATACTTTAACAGATGAGAGTTCAAATAAACTGGATGGATAATAATTAAGTTTCTTCCCATTTAACAAATATTCAAAACCAATTTTGACTTCATCAAAATCATCCAATATATCAAGTTTTGTCAAACATATTCTGCAATTGAATCATTCTTACATAATTATTTGACTTTGAAAATAATTGAATGAGTTCAGAGCGAGCGTTAAACAGTTATTTCGAGTTTATTTTTTAAAATTCATATATTATTATTTTTTCAACAATTAGGAATAATTTTGTTTGTATTTTTAAAAAGGTAATATCTAAAAAATGGAGTGACCCAAAAATATTGAGTTTTTTAAGATACCTGAACAATTTGAAAATATGGAAATAACTGTTTATTAACTGGACACTTCAATTAACTATTAATAATTATTAATTATAATTATTCAATAAACAATATGAGTCATTCTTAAGACAATTTCATAAAAGGTATGGAGGTGTCAACTCCCCAAACATTCCTCAAAATTTTTTATAATGGGATTATTCAGAGTAAATTGTGAACTCTTTCACTCATTAAGATACTTAAGTCGCCAAATTTCAATCTATACTAGTGTGCCATATGCCCGATCTTTACTATACTAGTTGGTTGGATTTGTAATGTTATTTTAATTGTGTAAACACAAAAAGTAGTTCTTACTTAGTATAACCATTCACCATCGATGTATATATAAGTAATGGAATATCTAGCCATCCACAACGTCTTTTTCGCTTAGTTGTAACACCAATTTCATGTCCAATAATCTGAAGTTTTTCACCAATATCCTATAATTCATTGATATATACAGAGTGATTTTTTTATCATAACCCACACACTTGCAGAATAATAATAATTTAAACATTTTTTTTTTTTATAATCTTTAGTTACACATTATTCTTGAATTTTTAACTATGTAATACTTTTTAAGTTCATCCCTTATGCCTTGGAGGGGGGTCAACTTTGTTTTTTTAAATGGTAACACATATTTTTAATTTAATAAAATGTTTGAGTTTTTAATTTAATAGTAAATGGCATTTGAATTTTTAATATAACTTTATTAGCTTATTAGATATAAACATTTAAAGTTTCAAAATTTTGAGTTAATATACATGTATAATACACATGGGATTGTAAATACAGGTAGCTAATTGGATTTTTATGACATTGCTGTCTCAGTCACGGATTGTTTATTATCAATTATGATTATCAATAGATATACTTTCTGTATTGTCAGTTAGTGTATTTATAAACTCATAACAATGTGCCTTACTACAATTGATAATAACAATGCTGTGTACCTGTGCTAATATTGATGTTATAAAAAAACAATTAGCTACCTGTATTTGTAATTCCTTGTGTATTATACCTGTATATTAATTCAAAAATTTGAAACTTTAAATGATTATATCTAATAAACGAATTAAGTTATATTAAAAATTCAAATGCCATTTACTATTAAATTAAAAACTCAAACATTTTATTAAATTAAAAATATGTGTTACCATTTAAAAAAACAAAGTTGACCCCCTCCCTTCCAAGGCATAAGGGATGAACTTAAAAAGTATTACATAGTTAAAAATTCAAGAATAATGTGTAACTAAAGATAATGAAAAAAAAAAATGTTTAAATTATTATTATTCTGCAAGTAATTGAGTGGGTTATGATAAAAAAATCACCCTGTATATAAATATATATAGTTATTCTTCACTATTTTATTTATTCATAATATTTTTTTTAGAAAGATTATTTTTATTTTGTTTTGTTTCCTAAGCCTTGTAAAACATGTACTGATGCTATAATTTTATGACAATTTGTTAAATATTACGTGATACTTACATCTTTTAATTCAGTAGGAAAAGGACCATCACCAACTCTAGTAGTATATGCTTTGACCACTCCAATAACATCACCAATTGTTGATGGTGGTAAACCTAATCCAGTACAAACTCCTCCAATACTACAATTTGAAGATGTCACATAAGGATAAGTTCCTAAAAAAAAAAAAAATAATAATAATTATGATATTAAAAAATATTAAAAAAAAAAATAACAAAACAATTATTCAATAATAAAATGTTGTTATATGTTGCTTGGTAGTTATGTATATTAAAAATATGCTCCTTTGAGGTTATAATTCCTAAATTGTATTCTGTCACTTATGTACGATCTGAACCATTCTAGTGTACATCTACTGAAATCAATTGCTTCCAGTTTTTTAACTAGTATAATGTGATTAACTCAATACATTTTACTATGATCTGTATATATTACATCTACTTGTTTGTTTTCTATAAATGTTTTACTGATTGTATTAATAAACTGGCATAGGTTTATGATTATTGATCCTTTTACATGACTTTTGTATAAGGTCATGTAGATGTTCACCAATAACATGTTTAAGATCAGAATAAGTTTATATCTAACTAGCTATTCAAATATTAATGCCAAGTGATTCTAGATAGTGATAGATCAATAATTATTGGCAATTAATTTTGTTCCTTTTTTATGTATTGGAATGATGTAACCTACCTTCCTGATAAGTGGGAAGCTTCCAAGTTTTAAAGATTTATTAAATAATAAATATAAAGGTGCCACTAGTGCAAATCTTCAGTTTTAAAGAAGAGATGGAGGAATCATGATCCTTTAGATGTGTTTATACTTATTAATAAATTGAATATTTCTCATTTGGAGATAGCATATTGTTTACTTATATGAATATTTTCTTTGTGTGTGAGATAATTTTTTTTAATAGAATATTTTTGGGGTAAAGATAAGACAATAAAATGAGCCAAGACAGTTCCTACCAGAAAAAGTACCAGAGCAAAACAGTAAAATATTATTCGTATTCCAGTAGGTGTGAAAGGTGGAGCAAAAAATTGTAAAACTCTTATTGATTGTTTTTCATTATTCATAGACGATAAAATAATCAAAAGTGTTATATTTTGTACGGATTTATACATTGATCATGTATCGCTCACAAATTCGTTTGTAGTAGAGATGTAAATAAAACTGATGAGGGCGAAATTAAATGTTTACTCGGCTTACTCATTCTATAAGGAGTAAACAGGTCAGGACATCAAAATTTAGAAGATCTTTGGAGAACAAATGGTTTAGGAATAAGTATTTTTCATTCAGAAATGACGTTGAAACGAATTTTTTTCTTATTACGTTGTATTCGTTTTGACGATTACAGAGATCGTCAATCTCGTAAAGAAATTGATAACTTCGCTGCTTTTTAGAGACATTTTTGAACTTTTTTTGGCCAATTGTGAAATTTCACTAACAGTGAAATAACAATTGCAATCTAAAGCATAAAAACCAGAAAAGCAGCTGGCTTTGAAGACATCTACCCAGAATTATTGAAACACACTGGCCTAAAAACTATGAATTCATGTTTTTTACCCATTGAAAATACATTTACAAAAAACCCAGCACAGTGGTGACGTGGCATAGTTGGATTAAGTATAATGATATCTGACAGTGATTAAAATCACTATAAAAAAAAAACGCTTTGATGCAAATCTTTAGATAGTGTATAATTTTAAAAAATTGGTAGATTATTCCAAAAGCTACATGATCTGCTAGTTCCTTATTAATATCCTGATTAAAATAAAGTATGTCGAATGAAAAAGGGATTATTAAAAAATATTATTTCTCATAAAAAAATTATGTTGATCCATACACTTTTCAATATGTTATAACATTATAAAGTTAAAAATGTAAAAAATAAAATTGAGAATTTTCACACAATAATAGCATTTGGTAGACATTTTCACTGTGAAGACAAAATAAAGTCCGACATTTTTTTTTCGCATAATAAAGTAAATTACATTAACTTTAATTTAAGATATATATAAAAGTGTCAGACTTTCCGGAACACTTTCAAAATTTAAGTTGAAAAAGTCAATTTTTTGTGAAAAAGTTGTCATTTTGAATCCCCCCCTGTAGGCAGGTAAAAAGTCAGATTTATAAAAAAAATATACCAAATGATAGGTAAAGACATCATGCATCTACAAAAAAAAGAATTATATTGATCCATACATCTTTCGAGAAGTTATAGCATTATAAAGTTAAAAATATAAAAAAGAATTTTTTTACAAAAATCGTATTTTTTTTATTAAGTTTAATGTCTGTTTTCACCATGAAGATAAAATAAAGTCCGAAATTTTTTTTTACCATTATAAAGTATATTACATTAGCTTTAATTTAAGATATATATAAAAGTGTCAGACCTTCCGGAACACTTTCAAAAGTTACGTTGAAAAAGTTCTACTTTCTATATGCATTTTTATGTTTTGAATCCCCCCTGTATTTAGGGAAATGGTCCGATTTAAAAAAACAGTATGTCGAATGAAAGATCTATATAAATACTACTTCTCATAAAAAAATTGTAATGATTCATACATTTTTCAAAAAGTTATAGCATAATAAAGTTAAAAATGGAAAATACAAAATCGAAAATTTTCACACAAAAATAGCATTCGGTAGCCATTTTCACCATGAAGATAAGATAAAGTCCGAAATTTTTTTTTTTCATGATAAAGTATATTACATTAGCTTTAATTTAAGATATATATAAAAGTGTCAGACCTTCCGGAACACTTTTAAAAGTTAAGTTGAAAAAATTAATTTTTTGTAAAAAAGTTGTCATTTTAAATCCCCCCCTGTGGGCAGGTAAAAAGTCAGATTTATAAAAAAAATATATCAAATGAAAGGGAAATATCTAAGGTTTTAGTATAAAAAAAAATTATGTTGATTTGTTGATTTTTCAAAAAGTTATGGAAGTTTTAAGAAAAAAAAGTGAAAAAATTTCGAAAATTAGCGATTTTTAAATTTGTAATTTTTTTGCATATTTCCCCCATTTACGGGGAACGAGGGAAATTTTTTCAATTTTTAAGGGTAATGTCTTCGACTAGATACGATTTTTGATCTTTTGACGTATCATTGAAAGAAATCGGTTCGGTGAGAGCTAAGAAAAAGTGGTAACAGACACAAAAAAAAAAAAAAAAACACATCTTAGTAAAACCAATACCTTCTCAGCTTCGCATCGAAGCTAAAATATGCTATTGTTTTAAACCCTATTTAAAATATTTAAGATGTCCCATAAAACCAAATTTTAAAATGTGTGGTGTATAATACACTCAGTGATTAAAACATAATAACTGTGAAATTCACTCAACAATATGATAAAGGTTCAAAGAAAACTTTTTATTAAATTATATTTTTCATAATTTTTTTTTTTTTTTTTTGGTACATTTTTTACTTCCAATTACTATTTAAAAGGTTTTCTTTAAGAGAAAAAACTTTAAAGATAGTCAAAATCAAAATTTTATTCTTATAACTGCAAAGAACATCATGTGTCACAATTTGTTCTCATCTCATTTTTATTAAAACATTTTATTTATACGCAGTTTTATGCAATATTAAATCTAATTTTTTGTTAATAATCACTAACTTTTCTTTAAATGTGTTGAAATCTCCAAGTAAATCAGCTAGTCTAAGACCATTTCTAGTAGCTTTGGAAGCATAAGTGGGGCCAATACCCTTTTTTGTAGTTCCTAACGATTTTTTCCCTTTTTCCATCTCTTGAAGACCATCTACTTGCTATAAAAATATTAATTTATAAATAATTGTAATACAAATAAGAAGTTAGTACAATTAGTTAAACAGATTGATTATTCATTATAGTGATGTTAGAAACCTTGATTTTCAAACTGAACTTAACTTTTATATTTTCAGTCAAGCTTAAATGGAAAAACACAAATAATTAAACAAACTCAAAACGAAATTAATCATAATCATATTTAATCAAAAATAATCATAGCTCAAAAAATGTATAGTGATATTTGATTGCACTAGTTTTATTTTCAAATTGAATCAAACATTCTGAATTTGGTTTAGTTCGAAAATCACTAATAGTCTTTTTGTTTTTTTTTAATTGCATATACTTTTTGATTTATCAAAAGAAGTAATGAAAATTGATGTAATTGAATCTAAGTGAGCAGTGAAATAGAATTGCATAGTGGTAAAAACCATTGTCATAACCAGTGTTTCTATTTTAGTCAATATTTTCAAATAGTAATAATTTCCAAAATAGTGATTCAATAAGTGTTATTAACTAGTAATTTCTTAATAAGATTATTAACTATAATATGAGCTAATTAGATATGTATATTTTTAATAAAAAAATAAAATTTAATACCCTTATAAGGCATAAGGAATACATCTTATGTTTTTAATGATTGATATATCTAAAATTGCGAGTTACTAAAAAAAAGTGAAACAAAATTTTTATATACTTTATATTTTACGTATTATATTTTAAAATATAACACAATTGCTATTTCTATTTAAAATATTAACTATAATTATCTCGGAATCATAAAAAATATTATTATTTTAAAACAAAGTCACAAATATTTGATACTAATACTGTTCAAGACATATTTTTTCATTCTCTCTCCCACTTAGGTGAAAAATCGAGTAGTTCATGATTAATAGATCACCATGTAATAAAATTTATCAAATCTGTACACAAAGATGAATCCACAAAATAAAACTAAAGGTTAATGTGTAACACACTTTCATAATTTTTAAAAAATATTGTTTTTTTGACATTTTAACACATTAACTACTAATAAAATATATGAATACCAATTTTTACATAATAATTTTTTACCAATATAGGCTGAAATAAAAATTAAGTAGTTTAATAATTCCTCCACGTAAAAAAAAATACCTGATGAAAGTCAAACACAAGATGAGCACGGTCAGAGATTAATAGTCGTTGTTTCCAATTAATAAGTCCTTTTCTTTCATTTTTGATGCATTCTTCAAATAATCCAGGAAGGTGAATTACAACTCCATTACCTATTGAGTTATTTTGATGGTAATTTATTCATAAATATAATTATACTTTTTTTACTAGTAAAAACTAAATGAATAGCTCTATTTTAACCCTTAAACAGTCGCGTGGGGGTCTAGCATACCCTCACATAAATAAAAACGGATGTATTATACTGCATAAAAGGTGTACATAGATATAAATTTAGAAGATGGTTTTTATAGTAATATTGAATCGATTTTCATAAATAAATACCTTCGAAAAAAAAATGTATGTCTTAAAATATTCATCAAAATAGAAATGGGTCATATTTACCCCCATGCAACTTATAACGTTATAATTTTTTTTTGAACTTGTATTTTTTTCAAAATATCGTTTTATCGTAAATGCAATGTTATAATCGATATAATATGGTGGAATTGGGATTATGTGGATCTGCCACCGACTGTGCAATTAAGTTTTAAAAATAAATAATTTATTGAGAATTTCCACTACTCGATGATACGGAACAAATAAGAACAAAACATGTAATAAATGAATCGCGTCGCAATGTGGACACATTGATTATCGGTAATCGATGTGCTATTACGAACCAATAATTGTTTATACTCGTATTATAATAATTATATGTATTGTAATATTAATAATAAAAAAATTCAATTCAGAAAAATGATTATATAAATGTAAATACACATAAAACTAATAAATATAAGCCGTGTTTGAGATCAAAGAAATACAAGAAAAATTAATCTGAATTTAGCATTAGTTTAATGGAACCAATATTTCAGAATTTTAGTAATTTCCATAGATTTTTATATAATACATATAAAGTTTTTAACAAATATATTTTTGATGTATCAAATACAACTGGGGAAAATTGGCTATTGTGCTAATGACTGGAACCATTATTCTTGTCTATTTTTTTATTATGGTTAAAACAAAGATAAAGCAGACAAATTTTTGAGCTGTGTTCAAAAATTTTAAAAAGTATATGAGATCATAAAATTTTTAAGTCTTTAAATTTTAATTGGTAAAAATTGTCAATTTTAATCTAAATTGAAGTATAAAATATCATGATACATAATTTACATTCTTATCGGGAGCTTAAAATGGAACAGTTATACGTTGTTGGAAATTGCAAATCATCTAATAAATATTTTTATAAAATTATCAAATTAAAAAATTCTATGAAAAATTCAATTTTTTTGCAGTTTTAATAATTAATTTATAATTTATATATACCTTGTGTTCTACAAATAATTTATAAAAATAACAATAATATATTTTGAAATTTTGATTTCCAAGTTTTCTGTTATTGGTTAATATTTCTTTAGCATATATCAAAAGATAGCAAAATAATATATTTAAAACTTTTAATTTAGTCTTATCCTGTAAATTTAAAACATTAATGTTCTTACCAATAATAGACTTGCAATTAGGATTTATTATGCCACTTGGTAATAAATGAAAGTCAAATTCTTTGTTATCTACTACAACTGTATGGCCTGCATTGTTTCCACCCTAAGAAAAAAAATTTAAATAAAACAATTATTAATAAAATTAAATTCCATAAGAACTTGAACATTACATAGCAATAAAATCAGATAAGAACAGAACAAACAAGTTCATGTAAAGTGCATTTGACTAGAAATTGTTTAAAAAATGTTTTATAACTTTTTCTAATCAATATCATATTAACAAAAATTGTTATAATATTTTATTCTAAAATGCATAATTTAATGTTGGTTTCATTTTTCTAAGACTATTTTGTAACTTAGTTACAAAAAATAAAAATTTTTTTTATAAAATTGAAATGTACCTGGGGTCTATAAGGATTAATAGTTAAAATTAATTATTAATAGTTAAAAATAAATAAATCTATTAAGTTATAATTTATAATCAAATAGAAATTATGTTGAAGAAAACTGTTTTCATTTTGGTATGAGAAACTCAATTAAAAATATCAATATATGTATATATAGCTTTTAAACTTAAAAATTTTAACAGTATCAAATATCACCCTCATGTACATCATTTGTGTAGCTAGTAATTTTTAAGATGGGTACAGAATTATTAAATAAATATAATTTTTTATGACTCTCTAGCTTTGGTACATAGTTGAAGAGCTTTTAATTTTACTCTACCTTGTTTTTCTTTTAGTCACATTAGACATGATTTCTTTGTTCCTACAAAACCGATTTTAAAAAACACACAGTAAAAACCAATTGGTTAGCAACAGAATATTTACAAATTTAAAACATTCAATGTTTAATATGTTCTATACGATTAAACATAGAAATACATTCCAAATTTCTGTAAGTAATCTATCTCTAAATTTGATAATCATTAATTATAATTATTGGTAAATACAGTACATTATTTATTATAATTTGTATCAAATACGCATCAAAGCATTTTAGGACAGAGATTTTAATTCCTGACAGATATCAAACAACACTAATCTCAAAAAATGCTTACACTCCACTACACTAGATCTTTATAGTACTTTTTTTGTTTAATATTCATTTAAAAGTTTCATTTTATATAAAAATTTAGATCATCACTTGAATATTAAGAAGTCTGCCATTCTCTCTGATCTTTTGGTGGCTACACCATTGAGACATTATTTCACATATTATTCACTCCTTTACAAAAACATTACGTCTGATAAAACTTTATCTTTAAAATAGAAATTAAAAATACATTGATATATATTGAAAATAATTAATTAATTCTGATCTCTAATATTTAAATATCGAGTTGTAGGTATAAATATTTTTTACACTTTTCTGGCACACAAGCATTACTCAAAAATATCATATTTTAACGTGTGATACTATTAAAAAGAGTGTGCAATAACACATTACTCAGAAATTAGTTAATTCATTATTTATTTAAATTAAAATTAAATATTTATAACTATATAATATATGTAAATGATGTATTATGTTTATCTCATTAAACATACTCATTCATTAGTTTATATTGTTTCAAAATGTTTTATTTTTTAAATGAAACTAAAAATATTGTACCTATTAATACTAATAATAAAATTATATTGAAATATTCATTTTAGTCAAATAAATTATTACTACTAATCATATTTTTTAAGTATTTGATAAAAAAAAAATGTTACTTTTACAAGTAAAACTACAAAATTTTGTTACAATACTAATGTCATAAAATTGTTCTAAAAGAAAATAAATCTGACATCATACAATTTGTTTGAAATACATTTTTTTGCAATATTTTTAATTTAAAATATATTTAATAAGACCAGGATTAAACTAAAAGGATAGGCATAGAGCTTAAGAGTAAACATAAAATTAAAAATATTATTCTTATAAAAAGATTATACATTTTAAAAAAAATTATAGAAAAAGTTAGAGTTAGTAAAATTTATTAAAAGTCAATAGAATATGTTATTGTAATAAAAACAAACAACACTAATAAAACCAAATAACTTGTGATAAAAAATTATAATGTATTTTTAATTTCAAAATAGAAAATGAAGATCATTATACTACTAAAGTATAATTATTATCACTTAAACTATTGTTATAAAATATAAGTAATTACAATAAATTCAACAAATTTGAAATTACTTTTTAGTTAATTTAATCATTCAAATATTAAATACACCTGAAATAATAATTAATGTAAATTGATTAACATTAAAACTTAAGAATTATCCAATTTTTAATATATTGATAAATTAATTAACAAAATAAAATGAGTGTATAGAGTTAAATTTAAGAGCTTGAAAAAATTTTCATAAAACATCTAATAAAAGAATCATTTTACTATATTAAATAACTCAGGATTTAAATTTTGACACAATTTATATGTATCTAATAAATAGACTTTAAGGCCCTAAGCCAAAAGAGTTCTCAAAAATAAAAATTTTGGCACCAAATACTAAATTTGCAATTGTATACAACACCAATTTTGTTTCGTCCAAAAATAATAAAAATTCTTAATCATAGTCATTAAAAGTTGGGGTAAACAAATGTTGAACAAATTATAAATTTAAAAAGCTATTTTATTTACCTGACAACGACAAACAAGATCTGCATCAGAAGCCAACATATCAACGACTTTGCCTTTACCTTCATCTCCCCATTGAGCACCCAAAACTACAGTAACCTTGTTACAACTTGCCCCATTTGCTAATTTAGCTTCACCGTTGCATCCTTTTACAGCCATTGTGTTCTTGTTTGATAGTTAAAATAAATTTCAATAGTAGTATTATTTTATAATGTTCGTTGCGTGATTGAAGCTAGTTGATTTGTTCAATAATAGAAGTAAAACGTCAACTCACCAGAGTTTCGTCCGACCGATGGCCGTCATTACAAAAATGTACACTACGCGGTGCACGCGGAACATTCGCACAACCGTAAGACAAATAAAAAAAACGTAAAAATACTATGCATGCGATTATCTAAACTTATAATTATTACTATTGTACAACTACAAAATATAAAACATGTGAGAAGTGGTGACGGGCGGGAAAATTTGCCGGGAGGGCGGAGACTGACATAGAGAGAAATAACCGCAAAATTCGACGTAAGGCGCGTGATTTGACAAGGTATAATCGTTTTGTTCGACTGGCTGTAATTATGGTTTGTTATTATTTATACGGTAACATCATAGTTGCATTCAAATAAATACACGCGCGTACTTAGTACAATAAGTTTATATGATCGTACGTGTCTCTAAATTTTTTTTTGGGCGGGGAATGAATTCACTGATAACATGAAAGGGTTACTCTTAGACTAAAAACTTCTTACCATGGTTTTGGAAACAGTATTGCCAACGGATTTTGAATATCAGGCTCCTTTCCAAATATTTTATTAATCATTTTAGTAACCTACTACTAGAACAAAAATAATATCTTATATTGAGATATATATATAATATATAGGTTGCCAAAAAAAACTTTTAGCTTCGATGCAAAGCTGAGAAGGTATTAATTTTACCATGATGTGTTTTTTTTTTTTATGTCTGTTGCCACTTTTTCTCAGCTCTCACTTCTTGAAACAATACGTCAAAAGATCACAAATCGTAACTAGTTGAAGACATCACCATTTAAAATTGAAAAAAATTCTCTTATTCCCCGTAAATGAGGGAAATTTCCAAAAAAATTACAATTTTTCAAATCTGTAAATTTCGTCATAACTTTCTTAAAAATTAACAAAACAAATTATTTTTTTTTATTTATTGAAACCTTAGATATTTTCCTTTCATTTGATATCATTTTTTTGAAAATCTAATACTTAACCTGCTCACATGGGGGGATATAAAATAGCAACTTTTTTACAAAAACTAACTTTTTCAACTTAACTTTTGAAAATGTTCCGGAAATACTGCATATTTTAAACGTACAACAAATTAAAGCATATGTCATGTACCATAAAATGAAAAAAAAAATTTGTCTCGACACCTTATCTTCTACGTGCAAACTGCTGCCGTAGTTAAAAAAATGTTATTTTTGTGTTAAAATTTTCGATTTTTAATTTTCAACTTTAAATTGCTATATCTTTTTGAATAATGTATGCATGAACATATTTTTTTTTTCTAAATACATTATATATACCTCTTTCATTTAACATACTTTTTATTTAAATTGGACAATTTTCCTTTGTACAGGAGGCTTTCAAAACTTAAAAAATACGTATATAAAGTAGAACTTCTTCAACTTAACTTTTGAAAATGTTCCGGAAATACTGCGTCCTTTAAACATATGTCAAATTAAAGCTTACAATAAATACTATAAGTTCAAAAAAAAAAATTAGTATCGACACCTTTTCTTATATAGGAAAATGACTGTCGAATTTAACGAAACTTATAATTTTTATGTATAAAATCTCTATTTAACATAAAATATTTTAATTTTAACTGTCATAACTTTTTGAAAAATAAACAAATTATAATCATTTTAGCTTCGATGCGAAGCTGAGAAGGTATTGGTTTTACTATGATGTGTTTTTTTTTTTTTTTTTG